TTTATACTCTTTTATTTTACTTCAATTCAAATAAAAAAAATTCATATACATTTATTTTACACTCAATAAATAATACTAAAATATTTTTTATATTGCATTTCTTTTTCAGCCAACCAAATTAAGGATGTCGAAAATTAACACGACACGAAAATCTGATCCAAATTTTTTGGGTTAGGGTCAACTTGTTTTAAGAATGGGTCGGGTTCGGGTCCCATTTTTTTATCTGTTTTAAATTTTGGGTTGGATTTGGGTCAACTTGAAAACCTGATGTTGACTTGGATGCCTTGCTTGAAGACAAGTGCGCAGAAGGTCACGCAATCGTGCCTAATCGGGACGTTGAGGTTGGATAGACATAGGCGGCAAGGTCTGGACTTCGGGCCGATTGACGGAGTCGGAAGTCCTCTTCTCATGCTTTCGTTCTCTCCCTCTGTTTGCCTATTTGATCTGGTTGGTCGAGCTGCTCGAGAACAAATTAACCTCTTCACATGCTTTCGTTCTCTCCCTCTATTTACCTCTTTGATATGATCTAATTTACCCCAATAATCGCTCTTAACGGGATGCTTCTTCGCCTCCCATAATAATTTATCTAACATCTTTCTCCGTTGTTTTATTGGTTGGATACCTTATAGAGGCATTGGTGATGATTTCAGAGTATGCTTTTCTCTTCTCTCTTTCCTTTCATTGTCTATAATGTTCGAAACCCTTGTCTTATTCCGGAATTCTACAACCGTAGGTGGGTCGTGTCGAGTTGACTCGGACTCAAAGTGGGTTGAGTTGGGATCCGAGAAAGTGACCAATTTTAAAAAACGAGTCGTGTTCGGGTCAGGTCAACTATTGTCGGGTCAATTTTGGGTTGGGCCCGTATACTACCAATGACCTGATTTTGACAGCACTAACTAAAAAAAAAATAGAGAGCTTTTGATCTTTTAAGGATTTTGTAATTTTTTTCTAATTAATTCGTAGGCACCTCTGTATATTTTATCTCAAAAAAAAAGGAATGTTTTGATATAATTTTAATTTTGAAAAACTTTATAGTAATTTTTATTTAAATAATTAATGTTATATGTATCATCTTAAAACAAATTTAACAAAAAAAAAATATAAGTTATTATTATTATTATTTTTTAATATTTACAGACAACACAAACAATAAGTAATCTAATATTTTATTTATTGTTATCCACTCAGGACAAGAAGAATTCCCTTCCTCACTCGCCATTATCTGTCCGGACTCACAACAAAGCCGAACACCAGCTTTCCACCGTCTACCACGTGTCAACTAACCGGAGCCAACCTCTAGCTCAGCTCCACCAGGCACGTGACCCGGTCCAGACCATGTTTCGTACGAGTCATCCAGTCACATCCCAACCAAACCAGTCCACCGCTCCGGCCCCATCACCTAGTCGGTCTGCTCGCCGGCCGGACCCGGTGATCGTTCTCCTCATGCTATCGGCCACGCTGACCGTAATGCTGCTCTTCGGCCGTCTCTGTGCCGTGTTATGCAATTGCGCGTGGTTCTACATCTTATCTTGCATTCCGCCGTCCCCAATGCCGCCGTCGCCGGCGAAAGAGCTTTCCGGGGTGGAGGAACTGGATTTGGATTCACCGGCGTATAAGAAGAAGGTGGTGCTTATGGGCTTGCTTGAAAGAAACAGGTACGGTTTTTCAGGAGTGCCAATGACTCCAATGGCTTCCCCGACGACGGCCAGACTGAACAGGTAGCCCTGGTGAACCACACCAATTGTTTATTGGCAGATCTCCCTATATCAAAATTTGATATTTATTTATATATATTACACATTACTGTCTTAATCACACAAAATATAAACATAAAAATTAAATCTTTTTGTATTAAAAAATTATTAGTGATATTTTTTATGCGATTTAAATATTTGAATGTTATATTAGTCAATATCATAATTTAAATATTAGACATGTAAATACATAAAAATTATGTGACATGTTTGTAAGCTTCATCTTTATTTTGTAAATGTGAATAGAGGAAAGGAAATTAGGAGATAGGATTAGTGTGATATATGAGTGATTAATATAACACTAATGTTAATAATCATCCACATATATCGCATATTCTTGTTTACAACTAATAATTTTGTGGAATATTTTTTGCGAGGTTGTCGACATAAAGCTAAGACCTTAGATCTACTTCGAAATTATGCAATATATGATGATGAATATTACTCTAATCTTAAAATATATTCAAAGAATTCGAATTACAATTTTATATTCTTGTATATATATATATATAATCATATATAACATTTTGATCATTCTTCTTCATTTCCACATGTTTTAAACTAATATTTTTATCATATTATTGAGATTTAAAAACTAAAATGAAGGAAATATGTGATTTTTTTCTTTATATGTTTTCTAATCTTAAAAATTATGAATATCTTTTTCAAAATGAAGCCAAAGAATTGGGCCCACTTAATGTGTGATGCATGAAAATTAAAGAGAAAAAAAAAACAAACCTTTTCAAAATATTTTTAATATAGTGACAATAAAATTGTAAGATATTATTATTATTATTGATGTGTCCAGGAATATTTGTGATGGTAGAGAAATATATATAGTTTAACTTCTTAGTTTTGTACGAAGATCTAGCACGTATACAGATGAAAAGAGAAGGTGTAGTACTTATACGAGACCAATATTTTTTATGTGAAAAACTTTGAAAAGGAGAAAATCCATGGGGCCTAACCCAGTTTGAATGAATCCACAATTATTTTCAGTCGATTATAAATGAGACCCTTCCTTGGGGGTAGGCCTTAGCTTGATGTAATAAATATACATCATATAAAATGCATTACATGATGGGACTTGAAAGAATCACTATTGATAAATTTGTTTAGTCTGTAAAACCATAGTAGACGGACGACGGAGGTCGAAAAGATTTTAGTCTAGTGATGATGGTCCGAGGGACTGTAGTCGGCGGGAGATAGTGGTCAGAAAGACTGTTGTCTGGTAAAAGAGGTCAAATGGACTATAGTCGGCTAGCAACGGAGGTCAAAAGTCTGGCGACAGACAGAAGTCCGACATCAGGTAGAAGTTCAATGATAGACAAAAGTCCTACGTAAGATAAAAGTCCAACGGAATGTCGACGACGGGCAGAAGCCCAACGACGAACAGAAGTCCAACGTCGGGTAGAAATTCGGCCACGGGCAGAAGTTCGATGAAAGTCTGACGATAGGTGGAAGTCAGGCGTTGGGTGGAAGTCCAATGAAAGTTAAGCAACAGGTAGAAGGCGGGTGATGGGTGGAAGTCCTACGTCGGGTAGAAATTTGGTGACAGGCGAAAGTCTTGTGTCGGGTAGAAGTTTGGTAAAAGTTTGACGATTGCTGAAGTTTGGCATTGGGTAGAAGTCTGGCGATGGAAAGAAGTTCGGTGACGGGTGGAAGTCCAGTGTCAGGTAGAAATCCAGCGACAAGTGGAAGCCTGATGTCAGGTATAAGTCTGACGATAGTCTAAAGACGGGTGGAGGTCCGATGTTGGGTAGAAGTCTTATGATGGACAGAAGTTCGGTTACAGAAAAAAATTTGGAGTCGGGTAGAAGCTGAAGAAAGTCAAGTAATAGGCAGAAGTCTAGTGACGGGAAGAAGTATAGTGATGGGCAGAAGTCCAGTGTTGTGTAGAAATCCAATGATGGACAAAAGTCTGGCAATGGATAGAAGTCTAACGTCGGGTACAAATCCAATGACGGGTGGAAATCCGGCGCCCGGTAAAAGTTTGATGAAAGTTCGGCGATGGGCGGAAGTCTTGCATTGGGTAGAAGTCCAATGAAAGTTTAACAACAGGCTGAAGTTCGGCATTGGGTAGCAGTCCGGCGAAAGTCCAGTGACAGACAGAAGTCCTATGATAGGTGGAAATGCAGTGTCTGGTAGAAATCCGACGATGGGCGGAAGTTTAACATTGAGTAGAAGTCTGATGCAAGTCCTACGATAGTCAAAAGTTTAGCGACGGGCAGAAGTCCGGCTTAAGGTACAAGTCTACTAATGGAAAGATGTTCGAGGACTGGCAGAAGTTTGGAGTTGAATAGTAGTCCGGCGAAAGTCTGGCTATGGGCGGAAGTTCGGTATCAGGTAAAAATCTGGTGATGGACAAAAGTCCGGCAATGTGTGGAAGTATGACGTCGGGTATAAATCCGACAACAGGCCGAAGTCTGGTGTCTGGTAGAAGTTCAACTAAAGTTTAGCGACTGGAATGAGTCCGACGATGAGTAGAAGTCCGACAACAGGCAGAAATTCAGCATCTCGTAGAATTCTAACAAAAGTTCGGTGACAGGCAGAAGTCTGACAACTGGCGAAAGTCTGGCATCAGGTAGAAATCTGTCCGGTGTTGGTTAGAAGTCTGACGAAAGTCCGGCGATAGTTAGAAGTCCGACGAGAGACGAAATTTCGGTAATGGTTAGAAATTCGATGATGGGCAGAAGTTCAACATCAAGTAGAAGATCGACAAAATTCTGGCGACGGGTGGAAGTCCGATGTCAGGCAGAAGTCTGACAAAAGTCTGGAGATGAGCAAAAGTCCAGGAATGGGTGGAAGTCCAGCGTCTCGTAGAAATCTTGTGACAGGCGGAAGTCCCGCGTCAGGTAGAAGTCTGGAAATGAACATAAGTTTGGAGTTGGGTGGAAGTATGACGAAAGTCTAGCGACGGGCAGAATTCCAGCGACGGGCAAAAGTCCGGCAATGGATGGAAGTCCGATTTCGGGTAGAAATTCGGAGATGAATAGATGTCCGACAATGGGTTGAAGTTCGATGTCAGGTAGAAACTGGAGATGGGCGGAAGTCCGGTGATGGGCGGAAGTCTGATGTTGGGAAGAAGTCTGATGAAAGTCCGATGACGAGCGAAAGTTCGGCGTCTGGTAGAAGTCTGAAGCGAAAGTTCGGCGTCGGGTAGAAGTCTGACGAAAGTTCGTTGATGGGAGAAAGTCCAGTGTCGGGTAGAATTCTGAAGACTGTCGGAAGTTCATCGTCGGGCAGATGTCCAATGACAATCGAAAGTCTGGTTACGGGTTGAAGTCTGGGGTCAGGCGGAAGTTCAGCGTCGGGTGGAAATCCGGCGAGGGGCGGAAGTTCAGCGTCGGGTAGAAGTCCAATGAAAGTCTGTCGATGGTCAAAAGTCTGGTGTCAGGTACAAGTCCGACGACTGGCAAAAATTCGGCAACAGGCGAAATTCTAGCATCGGGTAGAAGTACAGCGATGGGCGGAAGTTGGACATCAGGTATAAGTCTGACAAAGTCTAACTACGGGAGAAAATCTGGTGTCGGTCGGTGGCCGGGTGGTCGGGGAGGAGCTGGATGGATAGATAACTCTTCCTTTTCTTCTTGCTTAAGCCTCCTCCCCCCCCCCCCCTGGGAAAAAATCCCCCCCCCCCCATGAGAAATAAGCGGTCTTTTTATCAATTTTTGAGAGTGGCAAGGCCTGTATATAAGAGGAAGATCAATGGTAATTTTTGAGTGGTTTGAATGGTTGACCCATGTTGAATCTCTTGGTAGCTGACCATTTATTTAGTATTTGAATGTCTTAATGGTATCAGAATTTGCTGATCTATGGCTTGTTGGATTCGTCTCGTCGAGTCGCTCGATTAGAATATAAGCATGTCATGTTTGGAAGCCACTTGGTAATCTAAATTATTGTTTCAACCTTCCAAATGAGCTTCAATTCTTCGTCGATTTTGACCCATTTGAGGTCAGATTGGCTCGAATTTGATGTCGTTAGGTTCGTATTTGTGAGATGTTCAGTTCAACTATAAGTTTGCTTAAATCGGAGTTTCAGATGGTCCCAAATTTAATTTTTGATCATTCCATCTTGATTTATGCCCGATCAAGATAATTTTATTGGTGACATATCAATTAAATTTTCAAAAAATTTGTGACTTTGAAGAAATAAGTAAATAATGCGGTAGATTTTAATAAAAGTTAAGGCTACCGTTATGGACATGAACAAAAGCAATGTTACTCGTTTCATTGGCTATTGAACTTCTCGCATATGGTTATGTATGTGTCTCTCTTGTTGTTGAATGTGTTCGACATGCAAACTAGGGTGGCAAGGTGGGCTTATAGCTCTACTTGGGGCTTCTGATAAAGAAAATGACATATTTTATTTAAGGTTTACTTTGAGACAGATTTCTTACTGTTTTATGAAGTAGCTTTTAGTACAAAAATTTTTATTTCAAAAAATTTATATACTAAAAAGTTGTTTTATAAAACAATAAAAAAGTTGCCCCAAACAAAGCCAAAGTCATGAGATTCTTGACATAAATATTATCTTGGGATGCGAGGGATGATCATGGGCAAAAATAATATGAATGAGCAAAATGAGGCATTTTGAAGTTGTTAGATTCTTGTATGGTTCCCATGGCCAAGATTGCAATCCCCATATAAAGAGGAATTTTGAAGGTCAATTGTCAGTGAAGTCATCTGCGGGATCTGCTTCCCCAATAACATTTAGGTCAATGAAGATCAGTTCGCCCATTGCGAGATGGAGGTGCTGCAATATATGTAGTCATTACGCCCATCACTGTTATTAGATCCTTATAGCTCCTAATATAAGCATTTTTTTAAAGCGCTCCACTGAGAAACAAGAATGAGGCTTAAGCTCTCAAGTATAAATTCGAATTACATTTTTATATGCTTGTTTATATATATATATATATATCATATATACATTTTGATCATTCTTCTAAATTTCCACATGTTTTAAACTAATATTTTTATCATATTATTGAGATTTACGAACTAAAATGGAGGAAATATGTGATTTTTTTTCTTTATATGTTTTCTAATCTTAAAAATTATGAATATCTTTTTTCAAAATGAAGCCAATGAATTGGGCACACTTAATGCGTGATGCATGAAAATTAAGGATAAAAAAAAAACAAACCTTTTCAAATTATTTTTAATATAGTGACAATAAAATTGTTAGATATAATTATTATTATTGTTGTGTCCTGGAATATTCGTGGCGGTAGAGAAATATATATAGTTTAACTTCTTAGTTTTGTACGAAGATCCAACACACATACATATAAAAAGAGATGGTGTAGTATTTATAAGAGACACCAAAATTTTTATGTGAAAAGTCCTGAAAAAGTAGAAAAATCATGGGTCTAGCCTAGTTTGAATGAATCCACTATTATTTGTAGTCGATTAAAAATGGGGCCCTTCCATGGAGGAAGGCCTTAGCTTGATGTAATAAATATACATCATATAAAATGCATTACATGATGGGACTTGAAAGAATCATTATTGATAAGTTTGTTTAGTCCGTAAAACCATAGTAGATGGGTGACGGAGGTTGGAAAGATTATAATATAGTGATAGTGGTCCGAGGGACTGTAGTCGGCGGGCGATAGTGGTCAGAAAGACTATTGTCTGGTGAAAGAGATCAAATGGACTATAGTCGGCTAGCAACGGAGGTCAAAAGTAAGGCGATAGGCGGAAGTCCGACGTCAAGTAGAAGTTCAATGATAGACAAAAGTCCGACGTAAGATAAAAGTCCAACGGAAGCCCAATGACGGGCAGAAGCCCAACGACGAGCAGAAGTCCAACGTCGAGTAGAAATCCGGCCATGGGAAAAGTCCGACGTCGAATAAAAGTCCAACGTCAGATAGAATTCAGACGAAAGTCTAACGATAGGTGAAAGTCACGTGTCGGGTAGAAGTCCGATGAATGTTAAGCAACGAGTAGAAGGCCGGTGATGGGTGGAAGTCCCACGTCGGGTAAAAATTTGGTGCAGGGCGAAAGTCCAGTGTCGGGTAAAAGTTTGACGAAAGTTTGACGATTGAAGCCTATAGAGAAATAGAATTAAATACAACTTCTTATGGTCTTCAGGCTCCAAGTCTTCTATGGGATTCCAAAAAGGAACGTCCTTCTGAGGGAGGATATTACTTTTTGGAGCCCCATTTATATTTATATAAGCAGTTATTTTTAATTATTTTATAGACTCCATACGCTGTACAAACCCAATCTATATACAACAATTCTAGGAAAAGAAAGCTTTACATTTTCATTTATATACGTACATCAGATACTAAGAACATTCTAGTTTTGCAGTAATATAAAAGGCAGGAAAAAAAGCAGTTATATAATTATGCATGTTATGAGTGCGTTGTGTACAGTTATAAATCCAGGAAAGTAAAGACAGAAAAATAAAGTACACGGCCCTCACTTTATTCATTCCGCACTCTGGTGTACAGACAGAAAAGTAGATATGCATGCTTATGCAGTACAGAAAAAGTAAGCAATCACACATAGGTGCCCTCTAGGCAAGACACCCGCAAATAAACCACCGGCCTAGCCTAGGCTAAAGTTAGTAGTCCTAGCAAGCATCTAAGTGTGTGAAAGAGGTTGTGTGGCTTGGATAGGTCCTATAGGAATTATTGTTCAAATTACATGTATTATTAGAGTTTATTTATTTAGAGTCCAAATGGGAATTTAATTGAAATTTAAGTAGAATGTATTTGAATTTTTGAATTATTCCAATTTTAGAAGTTAAAGTTATTTTATTTAGTTATAAAGAACTTATAGATTGATAACTCCCTAAGTGCAGGAAGTTATCAATTTATAAATCCTAGGAATCTCAAAATAGACGCCCATCTTATATGGAAAACAGATATCTCTTTGAGAATCCCCAAAATTTTATTAGAGAGAGAGAGAGAAAGGGACCTTATAAATGCAATACAACGTGCCCTCCCGAAGGAATCTAGCACGTCGTATAAGGTTGGTAAATTATTATAGTTGTTTGAAGATCTCCAAATCCAAATGGGTTAGTGCCTTCCTAAAAGGAGTCGTGCACAACCCATAGGAGATCTTTTTGTTATTTAAATGTTTTAAGAGTCTTTTGAAATCAAAATGTCCAAAGTCCTCCGAAAGGAATCAAACTTTAGGCATAGAAGACCAGAATTTGTTTAATCTAAATTAATTATCAAATCTGACTGACTAAGGTAGACCTTAACCAATCAGATTATCAAACTAATTTAGATTAAATGAATTTAGAATTTAATTGAATAATTAATTGATTTTAATTAATGATATTTAGAATTATTAAGAATGGGAGGTTTATTGAATTATTATTGATTTGAGATTGATTTAGAGATTTGATTTTTAATTGTTGGTTGAATACCACCTTTGTTTCACACCGAGGCCGTGAAGTTTATTTCACCTTCCTTGGGGCTAAGCTAATAGCCTCGTAGGCCTGGGTTACCCAGTGGTACCCGGTATAATTAAGTAGCTTAAATTAATTAATGTTTGATAGTTAATGAATTTTATTCAAAAGAGGTTTGATTTCTGATTTTAGGAGTTTATTAAGCATTTCTGGAGTTTTTAAACAATTTTTGAATTTTTAGGAATTTTGGAATATTTTAATCATTTAATTAAAGAGTCAAAAAGTGACTTTTTATTTAAATGTGTTTTCTGGAGAGTTAGCATTTTATTAAAATATTAGACCTTAAGACAATCAGTTAGAAGGTAAGTTTGCTAAAATTAGATTTTTCTGGATTTAGTTATGAAGGTTTAAAGTTTTGAACTGATTTTGACTTACAATTGACCATTTTATTGACTTTTTAGATTTGATGATTTTCTGGAATTTTTAGATTTTTAATAAATATTTGGCCTTATTATGAGTTGAATGCAACTGAGTTTGGTCAATTTGGATTTTTCTTGAATTAATTATGGATTTTCAAAGATTGGGGTATTTAATGAATTTTTGAAAATTGTTTAATTAAAGGACCTTTTTATTGTTTTGCTCCAAATGAGTTCCTAACTCCTTGAAATCTTCTCTAAAGGTCAATTCCATATGTCACTAGGTTATAGGATATAAATCAATGTCTCTAACCCTTGGACAATAAACTACAATCATATCAAAACAATCGTGAGCAAAAGAAAGATCGTGGTCCTAATGTCCTATGGATGGAGTTTATAATAAATCATTCAAATCATAGGTTATATAGTATGAGTTCAAATGACTTATTATGAAAAGAGATAGACATATGGAATTGGATTAAGGTTGCCTAGAGATATATGTAAATATATCCTAATTGAAGTCAATCCAATCCCATAGCATGACCATATATAGTTATT